AAGACTGAAAACCCAACCCCCAAGGGGTGCTTGACAGAAAGTGTGTTCTGTATTTTCTATATATCTGCTAGACGGAGTTCGACGACAAAAGTCGCTCACAAGGGGCCCTGCGGGCAGTCCCCTCGGACCCAAGTGACCTCGGCCAGCTCGAACTGCTTGTCTGTTGCCAGGAGCTCCTTTTGGGCTGGATTTGCGAGGCCAGTGAAAAGCAAACTCTATGGGCTTCAGAGAGGTGTATAGAATGCAGGGTCACAGAACGATTTATTTGGGAAAAAAGGGAGCCCAGTCCTCCCGCTTACCGAGGATGACAGCCACGCACACGTGCACCACGAACCTGACGGGAAACGGGTCAAGAACTCCACTCAAGCGCGAGCCAACCTGGATGCTGCCGGCGGAGCAAAGAACGCCTTTTGTGTATGACCTAGCGAACTTGAATCTAAAGCCTGATTGGCGCTGGTGGGCTATTCAAGCGCGAGCTGTCAAAACGAGCTGGGGGTGCAAGATAGTTTCGCTGTTTGGCTCGTCTAGGATAACGTGGGCTGAAAGCACCGGAACATATGTGGCACGGGGTCCTCCCCACCTGTACAGCACGGGCTCACCGTGAGTTCTAGCAGGTTTTGGGAGGGGGGTTGGCTTCAAGCTTAGGGGCTCTTAGGGCTTTGGAGCTTTAGGGCTCCTACACCCTATAAACCCCTAAACAGGAACTTCGCGGCTTGAGGGGCACTGCCAGGCTCAACGGCCTGGGGAAGGCTTCTGGGATTTGCCATCATTCCTTTTGCCATCTTCTCCAATTTCCCTTTGGGGAACTCAAGGTAAACCTTGAAAATCAAATATATGCGCATGTATACATATATATATATATGTGCATATGCAGACACATAACTTACATACATCAAAAACGACCTACACGCATGCATGCATACATATGTGCTGCACCAAGAACAGGGAAAGGTTACATACCCACTCGGCTATTGAGGTCAACCCTATATACCCAAAAGCACCCCTCCCTCCTCCCTGCCAGGCCCGTATCTGTTCGGGTCGGCGATGAAGGAATCCCACAGCCTGGGCATCTGGGCGGCCTATCTGGAGTCTTCACTCAGAAGCCCTGTCGGTAGTTGCTTGTGGTCCCTTCATTCTCATACCGAGAACAAAAAACCTAACTGGCTATAGAAACAAAAATTCGAATGCGGTTCAGCCTCGAGCGCAGGGTTCCTGAGCACCGAACCCCCCAATAGCACCTTAACCCAAGTTACGCAAACCCCCCAAATAAACCAGGAACGACTCTGAGCGGCCAATGTTGTCTGAACCCTTTGGCCAAGTGTCCCTTTGCAGTGCAGGGTTGTTTTCTGCAAGTATTGCATGTTGAGGTTTCCGGTGCACGGATGGACTGTACAACTTAGCTGAGTCAACGCCACTTTGCAAAGCCTGCCGAGAACTTACGGCTGCCCCGGATGCCCCGCTCTGATTCTTCTGGTTCTTGTGCTCGAATCTAAACTTCCCAGAGCCCCAAGGCCAACACCCTTCCCTGTCCGGAGGCATCACTGCACCAGCCCGTGCCTTGAAAACCGAGAAGGGGTTTAGGGCCTGCTAGGGTTTAGGGTTTAGGGTATAGGGTGTAGGGTTTAGGGCCTAGGTACCCTTTAACGAGGCCTTAAGGGTACGGCCATGCAGCAGCATCCTGAATGATTGCTCTCCTCATATAGTAAGGGCCCCTAAACCCTAAACCCTGAATCCAAGGCCAGAGCCGAAGAACGTCCGGAAGTGTCGCGTCCTGCTCTTCGCAGAAGAAACCGGGGGGGGGGGGGGTTTCCGAAAATTGGAGCTTTAGGGCTTAGGCCTGAGGATCCGGGATCCTTGTGAGGGCTCATATATTATAATGAGGATGAGAGCTCAGGCTTTTTGAACTTCACGAGGGGTGAAGACGAAGGCTTCGTGGTTGCAGAAACAACTGGACATCAGCGTGCTCCTCTTGCTGATCGTTCTCTGCAGAGAACAGACAGAGTTCATGAGCGTTCTCAGAGTAAATATTACGGGATGGTGCAGGGCAATGACTCCACATGGTAGTCAAGATCTGACAGAGTGTTTGCCTCCGGCCCCAACTTTGGCTTATGCCTCATATTCTGACAAGCCAAACCATCCGGAACTTCCTCCCCAAATCCCCCCTGATTCAAACCAACAGCCAAGCCAAAATGAGACCCTGCTGCGTCGCTCGCACCTGGGCGAAGAGGACCTGGGAGAGAAGGTAACCCGGAAGCTCGTGTCGGCAAGCTAAGTCAGGCCATGCACACACTAGCTCCACTCAGGGCTTAGGTTTCCTTCATCCCTGAACTCCGTGCCGGGGTTGCACTCAAGCCTTATAGTGGCCTTGGTCCCAATCAAGCGAATATTTGGGTGCAACACTGCAAGATTTAAGATCAGTTCGAGCAGAGAGTTCTTAGCAGCTGTGGCTGCAGGGAGACCCCATTCAATTCGAGCTTGTTTAGGACTTGCGGCAGGTCACGGAGCTGGAAAGCAAAATTGAAGAAGGGAATTGCATGCCTCGTCCTGACCAGCAGGCTATGCTACTCTGAAGACTACAGGCCTTTGCATTGGCTGGAGCCGTCGGAATCAGAACAAGCGTTTGCATCAACCATGTCTACGAGATCCGACCAATGGCATACATGGCTCTCAACTGTCCTCAACTCCCCAAACCTGAACAAATTTCCCGACCTACTTACTAGTTCCAACATACTCCTCAGAACAAGAAAGCCTGCCGCAGCCCGACAACTGAGAGACGAGTGTCGGTGCACCACCGCAGCACGAAAACAAACAGAGACAGCTCAGCGCGGGCGAGATGCCTCCGAAAGAAGCGGGGTGCTGCCCTGTTCTGGTTACCTATCAATAGGGGCCTTGATATTTCGGGTAGACTCTTGAAAAAGTACCCAAATTATGAGAGATGTAATTCGGAACCTCTGAGCAATCCGAGGCTTCACGGTTTTGCAAAGCCCGGGGGTGTCCATTGTCTGCAGTGTCCCTGCACGCCTGCACCCTGTGATCTCCCCAGGTTCTTGGGTTGATTGCCGGCATTTCCCATTGTTGCAAGTCCGAGCCTTTAGGACGACATGCCGGAGGCGCGCTTTGCTACAGCCGTGTAAGGTTTCGATCTGTCCGGGTTTTGCATCGGTTTAAGCCTTAGCCATATATACTAACATGCATATATATATATATATATAGAGTACACACACACATTTGGCGGCAAACCTGGCCGAAGGTAAATCTGGCCTCGCGAGGTGCGGGTCGTAGCCTCGGGCACGTTGTGTGTGGGAGACCTACGTAGTAGATCTGTGGGCAGGGAGGAAGTGAAGGCATGTTCACCCAAAATGATTTAGGCCTAAATCTTCAGAGGCTGTCTGGAATAGGTGTCAATCCGCAGAGTCTTCGAGAACAGTACCGAAAGCCTCTCCTGAAGCCCCTATGATGTCTTGCTCCAGGAAAATCTCGGCGAGCCAGGGCATAGACTTGAACCTCCCACCCTGACTTTTCTATTCCCACACTGCCGCTGCCTTATGACCCCACAATGACATAACATTACAGCCTAATTGCTGAAAATGGGCTGGACTTGGACGGGATAAAATTGTTAATCATGGGCTCCCGTATTGTTTAATCATGGGCTCCCGCACTGCCCTTTAAACCCTCAGCCCCTAAACCAGGGACCGCGCTCCGTAGCATCTGCGAGATCTCCTCCACCATGCCGTAGACGCCTGCGGCACAGAAGAAATCTGTCTTCGGGCTTTCGCTCCACCCTTATACCCTATAAACCCGAAATGGGGGCTGACTCAAACCTTCCATCCTGCAGTCACGGCTTAAAAGGGGTTTAGGGCTTGGGGCCTGAAACCTTCTGAACCCCAAATCTTGGCTACCGAAGCTGCAGCGCGTAACCAGGGAGTTCTTGGCTGCTTAGCACCGAATCCCGCGAAGCTTGAACTGAATCCTAAGTCCGAAGCACTGGACCCTCATGCCCTATGATTAGAACAGAATATTCGTTCTCAATGACTCAGGTCTAGTTTAGCTACTTACTTTGTTCAAACTTCGGGTGCTCTAGATAGAACCCCAAGTGGGGAACCCGAAGAACCGCCGAAGCCCCGAGACGATCACCTTCGCCGCTGTGATCCAAAGCTTGCATGAAGCCGTCTTTGATTTCCTCAAGTTTTTCACGAACGCCACTAAGCCCTACACCCTCGTCCCTGAACCCACCCCCCTCAAAACAAAGAAACATCTCTAGCAAACCCATTACCCTCCCACAGGCTGCAGAAGGCTCCCCCCATTTGAAAACAGAATGCTTTGACGCTGCACACCGATGGAGGGAGGCAACTTTGAAGAACAAAGCGTAAAACCATGACGGTCTGAGGAAGTTATTCCAGGCACACACTAGCAGGATGATCAAGTACAAAGTGGGGTATTTGGGTGGTGGGCGCAACTCCCCCCCCCCACCCCCATTGCTAACATCATGATGGGGAGGTTGTGTGTGCCAAGTATGGCTTTGACAGGATGATAACATGTTTGCGGCTTCAGATTTCTGGATATTCGAAGTACTTAGGTAGTGTAAATCAGAGGTATACAATCTGTTACCTCCATATTTTCTATGGCTTAACACACCGTAATATAATATTGTCTTGTCCATCTTTCAGACGCCAAGGTTCGGCCATCATCTCGCTGAAGCACCAGAAAGCATCCGTCTCGGCGTCGACCTCCGCGGACATAACGTAAAGCAGGACTGCGGCGATCTCGTTCATGCCTCGCAGAGTCGGGGCTTACTTTGGGTTAGGGTTTAGGGTTTAGGGTTTAGGGTTTAGGGTTTAGGGTTTAGGGTTTAGGGTTTTTGGGCATGCATCATGGGTTTAGCCTAGCACGGGACTTGGCTAGTGCTTAGAGGCTTAGACCCGACACCCGTGAGCCTGAAGGACTAAACTCCAAAGCCCCGCCATGGACCCCCACCCCCAAAATACCAGGCTGAAGGAGGCGATGCTGTGGAAGATGCGATATGGTGAAGTAGCGACGAGCCTACATGATTCAGAGACTTCCTAGAAACACCCTAGTGCAAGTTGAGAAGATCCCCTTCTATTTAACGCGCTGCCTTTTGGCTTCAGAAGTCAAGTCCCAGGTCATGCCGGATATTCAATATCATCGGTGGGGTCAGGTGAGTTTTTTGTCACTTCGGGAGTTCCCGCGTCCACAACCCGCGTTTCGCCGGCTCTTCGCGTTGTGCCTAAGTCTCACCTCATCTGCTGGGCCGCAACCTTGTCAGACTCAGTGAGTGGCGATTTCTAGCTGTTCTGACAGAATCGCACGGATTCCCTGCAACTCCTGGTGCCCGGAAAGCCCCTGAAAGCATCTGAACATAAACTTCGTGAACCAAAACCTAAACCCTACACCGTACGCCTGAATCTCAACGGGTAACACGGTAGCACCTTCTCAAAGAAATCACCCAAAAGCAGGTTTTTTCTAGTCAAGACCCTTTCTGTGAACTTGGGCTGCTCGGCCTTGCACATACCGGACGCCCGGATTCAGCTTGGCATAGACGAAGAGCAAAGCAGTTAACGCAGCTTTTGTCGCAGGACGGCGGAAATACTCGAAATCTCGCCGGGTCCTGTCAACGTCCTGAGCTTTCTGAATTGTCAAGCGTCTCGCGCGTAGTCTAAGAGGTGGCAAAGGCGTGACGTTTGAGTTCATGATGGAGTGGAGAAATCCAACGGCCATGAGAACGTAGTTGACATCCCACCTACCTTTTGAGTCTGGAGCCTTACACCGTGTACGAGAAAGGACCCGCAGAGAAAAGTTGCGAGGCAACTCCACAGCTTCCTGGCCAAGAAGCGTTCTTGATCTCCTGCAGCAAGTCTTGATCATCAATCTCACTACCTGCCAAAGTGTTGAGACTGCATGTCGCGCGGCCTTAAAGCCTGACAGGACCACGTAATTCCTCCTGATATTGAACCAGTCATCACATTGCCCCATGGTGCTAAAAGAAACACGCTAATGCGGATCTTTCATGGATTTCTGGTGGGAGCGGATGAATGCCTCAGATTTCTGCATATCTACCTTGCACCTTGCAGGCCTTCAACGACCACACCGTGCACCGAATTGCAGTTCGATAGCCTCTGTACCCTAAACCCTAAAACACCCTCTACACACCTTGAGTTCAGAAGCCCTTCGCAACATTTCGCAACTAGCCGCTTCAGACACTCTCAACCATGCCCTGAACGCTATAAAGGAGGCCCACTTAAACTCAGGGCCCCTGGCGTCTGAAGGGATTGCAGACTGGTTGAAATTTCCTGCTCCCTCTTCAGACAAGAAGGCCCCCGTTGCTAAACCCCTCTGTTCAGAAACCCTAAACACCCAATACTCCAAACACCCGAGGCACCCAAAAGCTAAACACAAAAAACAAATCTAGAACCCATTTTCGGTGGCCTGGGTTCTTGGAGCTCGAGTTGATCGAGACCTCGTGTGCAGAGTCGATAGTGAGGAGTTCGCTCCGGTAGCTGGCCTCAAAAGAACTCAGTCGACAAAAAACGTTGGGGTCCAGGCTGAAAGGTCTGGTTCATACAGTACCCTAAACCCTAAACCCTAATTGATAGGGTTTGCAGGGTTAAAAGGGTGTTCCTAGGGTTCAGGGTTTATGGGGCTTACGTTTTGCTTGCCGGGTTTTCTGGAAGCCGAGAAGGGGCGGGGCGGGGGTTGAGGGTCAAGATCCTAAACCCTACCCAGAAATCTGGGGTGAAAGCTGCAAAAACAACAGCCTCACAGGAAGTATTAGGCTTCAGGGCTCAGGGGGTTGAGGTTATTGCTATTAGGCCTCACTTGGGTGGGGGGTCTTGATGCACTCTAAACTCACTGCTGGCTCGGCAAACATGAAGGAATGAAGGGTCAAACTTGGAGGGTTTAGTCTGAGAGTTCAGGAGGGCTTAGGAGGGGAGGGAGGGTCAGAGGCCCTGGGCATCTAGGCTTTAACATTTCAAAGCCTGCGGGCCCACAGCTAAGGGTTTGTGCTGAAAAAACACCGTGCTGAAGCTCAGCGAGGTGGCATAGAGGGCACGCTTCTCACCTGGCTCTAGGTGCAGGAACCGGGCTTGGGATTTGGCAGGCTCAGAATGTCAACATCCACTCGCGGCAGCTAAAAGTCTGTCTCTCTTGAGGGCCGAGGTTCACTTAGGTCGCTATCACACAATCCGGCTTGTGTGAGCTTACGCAGCAAAAGGCAAGAGGGTGCCCAATGGTGCGCTGGGCAGACAAGTTTGACATCACAAAGAGCCTCCCATCTGCAACCACGAATGATTGACTCAGCATTGGCGTTATGTGTTTGGAACGAATTCTGCAACCATATACCCCAGCAGCTTGCAAGGCACAGTCTCATTGCGTGCGGGCTGCCATGAATGGCGTTCCACTCGTCCTGCCGCTTCATGGGCAGGTAGCCAAGCAATGCCTGCCACCAGGTACTGCAGTAACAAAACCGGGCATCAGAAAACTGAGAACGAAACTATCCCAATGCTACGCTCAAAGTGTCCTTGCATTTTGCAAGCTGAGACTCAGGCTCTGTCCGCCGAAGCCCCGACGTTACAAGCGGTTTAGGGTCTAGGGTTTACGGTTTAATTAGGGTGTACGGCGTGGAGTTTCGGGTTTCAGCACCATCTGAGAGAGGCTGGCCTGACTATGCGCCCAGCACCCTCAAATTCTTGGGGATTCGGGCCATTTAGGGTAATAGGGGAAATATTTGCCCTTAGCAACTCAACTCTGTAAGGTACATAATTCATCCAGGTAGCTAAGATTTGCTTAAGAACCCCCAAAAAATAGAAATGTTCTTCCTGACTATGGGGAATAAGGGGAATGGTTCTTCTTCACGTTTTGGGTTCGCAAGCAATAGTAGGTAGCGGGGAGTTCAGAGGGCCTTCCAGACTGTTGCTCTCAGGCCGTGATCGTCTGGGAGCCCGCGGAAGGCGAGCCTCAGAAAGCGAGAAATGGCATCGCTTAGGGTTTGGGGTTTGGCCCCTTGTTCGGTTTAGGGTTTGGGGGTTGGGGTTTAGGGTTACAGGTACCGTGAACTCGAGAATGGTTTCAATCCTCTACCGAGCCGCCAACACATGAAGCTGATGCACATCAGCTGACGCTACAAGGGTGAACCTTCTCATCGAACTTGGAACTGGTCCCGACTCTGAGTCCAATCAGGTGTTGGAAAGGCGGAAGCCAGAAATGGGCAAAGACCCTAAACTGTACTGTAAGCTGCGAAAACCCCAAAGCCCCGAGCTTGAGTAAAAGCTTTGTACCCTAGCTTCCTCAACCAAGAAGCCCTAAACTAACCTAGTGTTCCGATATTTCCATGAAAAGGTATGACAGATAGATTAACCACTAAACCCTAAACCCTCTCTGGGTAAACCCTGCTGCGCATGGCCAAGTTTCAATCGAAGGAGGCCATCGTTGCCGTCCTGCAAAGAGCTGGGTGCAAAGTTGAGGTCATGGGTTTCGGGTTCAGTAGGGGTCCTAAACCAACAGCTGCAATCCTCCAGATCCTAAAGCCTGAACCTCTGCCAAAGCATGTCCCTGACTCATCTGAGGGTGGGCGCCTGGATTCAAAGCTACACCCTAAAACCCTAAACCCTGCACCCAGGTTTGGGTCCGTGCGAAGGTCCGGACTACGTGTTGCAGAGGGGGGTTGCCTCAAAACCATCCCCCCCCTCTCCACCCAAAAAAGCTTTTGGACAAGCTGTCCTTCGTTCCCCGCGCGATGGCCCGCTGGAGCAGCTCCGTCTTTGAGGGTGCGAGGCCCTCCGCCAGCACCGACTTTCGAACCTTTTCGACTCGGGTTTTTGAGGTGGAGAGCTTGAGGCTTAAGGCTTAAGGCTTCAAGTTGACAGGGTTCCGGTCCACAGTTGTACTCGTACAAACCAAGAGGTTCCGGGATGAGGGTGGGCTTGGAGACTTCCCGCCTGCCCTGAAAACCCGTCAGAGTAAGAAAACTGTTGAGATGCAGGGACAGTATTTGTCAGTATTCGTCTTCTTTGGAAAAAAGATTCTTGATGCTTGTCCAATCATATTCCTTCATCTGGACATTGACAAAGTCTCGCGTGCCTACTTTCGAAGTCTTCATGGGGCCTGTGTTTTCATCCTTTTTCTCCATTCACGAGCCTCACAACTCTGGTGATTCTGCTGCTGTGGCCTCGGCAAGAGCCTCTTCCAGCTCGGTCTGAAGCTCCTCGCAAGATGTTAATTTCTTCAGGGGGGCGGGGGGGGGAGGGGGTGGAGAGGCTGATAAGGTGGCTGTCCGGAAGGGTGAGGGTTTCTGGGTGGGGGTTTGGAGAGTGTTGAAGTTTTGAGACGTCTCAGCCCCTCTCAAGGCCCCATATTGTATCTGTAACGATGTGCTTTCCAATGCCTAGGAGTCCTCATAAGCTAATCCGAGCTATAGGAGCAGCTATAGTAAGCCACACAGCCATTAATTCCCAAAACCCCGAAACCCCAACACCCCAAAGCCCCAAAGCGCCAAAGCCCCAAAAACCCCAAAACCCCAAAACCCCGAAACCCCAACACCCTAAACCCTAAAACGCAGTCCTCCTCCCGATACTCAAAGGGCGCGTTCTGGTAGAGGCTTCGGCCGAGCAGCTCGAGGCCTTCCAGGGGAGCAAGGTTGTACCTGCCACCGGTCTCAGGCATCAGGTTCCAAAACCCAAACGCAGCTATACAATAACATGACTCAAGCATAATTCGTATATTTTTAAATCTTGTGAAATATTCATATACTTATTGACTCACTGAAAAGTTATAACAAAACAAAAATAGAATACAAAGGACAATTCTTCATCCTAAGCCCAGAGGCCCTGCGGTGATTTGGGCAACAGCCGGGGATTGGGATTTCGCCTTTAGGGCTTCGGGGATCTCGAGAGAACTACCTCCAAGGCCTTGAGGGTTGGAGTCTTCAGAGGGATTCGGGTGGTTCGTGTTTGTACCCCCTCGCCCGGATAACCCCCCCCGCCCCCCTAACGCCCGTAGATTAGCGTGTAGCGCTTGGGGCTTCAGGTTCCGAGGTCCTAAATGGAAAGCCCTGAGCCCCCAAAACCCTAAACCCCGCGTTTAGGAAGCCGATCCCTCCATGTTACAACGTGCCAAGGCGCTTCAGTGACAGCTGCGCCCAAAGGTGCGGGACCTCAGCAGAAGTGAAAGGAAGGGTCAGGGTGAGGGTGCGGGCATCGTTTTCCAAAGCCTTGACTGCTTGAGCCTGTTGGGATTATACTCCATCCAGGCCACCCTAAACCCTAAACCCTAAACCCTAAACCCTAAACCCTAAACCCTAAACCCCCCTAAACCCTAAACCCTAAACCCTAAACTCACTCATGTCCGGACTCAGCAGTTTTGGGAGGCGCATGCACCCCTCTGGTTGCTGCCTCAAGCACAGGGCCCACCTGTTTTGTTTGGTCCTGCTTTTTAAAAGCATCTTTTGACCTGTTCCGCATGCAGATTTCTCCCTTTGATCCTTGAACTTCTCGCAGCATTCCCACCCCTCCCACCCCCCACGGTGGCAGAGGTTCTAGGTCGCTCCTGCTGAAGAACCTGAATGCCAACCCTGAGCAACGGCTGCTGCTGGGCGACCATGTGGCCGCGATACTTGGCCACAATGGCGTTGATGTTGCTCATGTTTGTCTGCCTGGAGTAGAATTAAGCCCCAGAAATTTGCCTAGGAGCCGAGAACCAGTAAACCTGAAACTCCAGACATCAAGCCGCCTTAAACCGAGGGTTTCGAAATTTATCCGTGCGGTCCCGAGGTTCAGGGTTGCCTTTGTTTCGTGTCACAGGGCACACGCCTTTCATAAGGGCCTAGGGTTTAGGAGTTTAGAGTTCAGGACCCCTAAACCCTAAACCCTGAATCTCGGGTCCCCGAAGCCCCGTTGCTTTTGTAGGGCCACGCTTCAGCTCAATTCAGATCATGGGTTTCCGTGAACTGGCTCGAATATGAGTTGCTTCCGGCCCAATTGCAAGATACTGAAGACTTTGACCGCCCTGCCTGGCCTGTGCTGGGTGTAGAAATCTTCTAAAGTCTCATGGAGGACGATGTCCTGCGATCGCAGGGCTTGAGCAATCTCTGTCATCCGAGGACACGAGAAGCTGAAGCTCTGTAGCACCTTCGCGAAACCACCAACATCAACAAACAAAAAGACGAAACTCGAAAAACTGACTGTAGCCTGCTGCGCAAACAGCAGGCCCGCAGAACAATGACTCGTTCAATGACTCATTCACGCAAAAAGCACCTGGTAACACATTCTGACACCTACATCACATACCAGTAGCTTTCAAAACCCACTCCGACTGAGATAGAACAACGTCTACAGTCTTCGTTTTTCCTGCAAAGTCAAGTCTGAAGTTCCCATGGCGGTCAGATGTATCGGCATGAGACTACAGCAATCAAAGTGGTGTAGTTACGGAGGGGCCCTGCTCTAACAGCAAACAGGGCACTGGCCCGGTTTAGGGCTTGATTCTTATCCGCTCCCCTCAACCCCCTCCGAAGCCCTGCCGCTCGTAACAACTCCTTCCGGTTCCGACTGCTACACCTGATACACAGGCTAACACATCATCTAGCGCAGGGGTTGGCAGAGCGACTCAGCATTGCGAAGCTACGCAGCGTAGAAGCTTGAAAGATCCTCACAGGGCTAGGATCCTTTTGCTTTTGCGAGTTATTGTGTGTAAGGACTTTCGGCCCCTGAGAGTGCGGTGCGCCTCTGTGGTGAAGTCCGCGGGGGGCGGCGGTGCTGTGAGGTGGTGGACCTTCAAGCGCGTCAAGCATGGACGCAGAAGCCATGAAGCAGTTTTCCGAGGCAGCCCTGTTCTTGCAAGTGCATGTCAACAAACTACCCGTAGCTTAATCAATTGAACTCGAACACCCTACAGCAACAAAACGGCCTCGACACCTCAACCCTCAAATCCTTGAACAAAACGCCTGCCTCGCCGTGGCTGTAGTCGGGTTGGGACACCTCCGCCTCGTCAGATCCGCTGCTGTCCATGCGGAACATGGCCTCATCGAGGCTGTTGGGTCCTAGCCCTCAACCGCACAAAAATTTGGGGGTTTCAAGGGCTTCAGGGTTTAAGAGCTTCAAGGCTTAAGCCCCGAAAGCCCGGACCCGAGAGAAGTCTCAGGGCTTGGTGGAGTCAGTCGACCTTGCAGCTTGTCTGTTTAGAAGCCTTAGAAGCCTTAGAAGCCTTAGAAGCCTTAGAAGCCTTAGAAGCCTTAGAAGCCTTAGAAGCCTTAGGTCGGGTCTTCGGGCGTATATTTCCATCCCAGGTTGCTCTATAGCTCGCAGGCGAGACATTTCTGATATTAGGGTTGAGGGAGAGGGGGACATGCAGCTGCAGCCGCTGGATTGAAGCTTAACCTGGAATGCTTCAAAGCCTGAGCATGTAATATTGAAACAATAGACGTCATGTTGAGACTTTCTCGCTTGCAGGCGAAGCTAACTTGCATCAAATGTCTTCCCAATTGAACAGGCTAAGCCTTAACATCCCAAGCAAAGTCCTCTACGCAATTGCCCATAACACTCTGTCAACCCCAAACCCCAAACCCCTAAACTCCCTAAACCCTAGACCCCTAAACCTAACCCTTAAACCCCTATACCTAAACCCCTTCAAACCCCTAAACTCCAGGGTCGGGCCGCTGCCCGTTCGGGCGTCTCCAGGGTGCTCTGCACCTGACCGGGCTCCTGAAACAGGGGATTTGGGGAATTTTACCCCAGAAATGGAGGTCCCTAATCTTCTTGTAAAGTTTGGAGCTGAGAGGCCTTTGGGGAAACGAAATGGGGAGCTAAAGTTCAGGGTTTGGGGCTTTCAGACCGCTTGGAGGCGTCGCTGGAGTCTGAAGTTCTCGGGATTCAAAAGGCGCGAAGCTTGCAACTAGTTCAATCCAAAATTAAGCCAGCGCAAAGCCTAAAACAGCCCCCCCCCCCCCCCCCCCCCCCCCCCCCCAACCCCTAGACTAACACACGCGCACACACACCCACACACACACACACACACACACACGCTCACACGTGCTCACCGAAGACCACCCGTTTGCCCATCGTGTCCTTGGAGCTTGGCTTGCCTCCACCGAGATCGACGGAGGCTGCCTCGCAAACGCTCCACTCCACACGACTCAAGTGCAACCTGAGGCGCTACATGAGGTCCCCAGCCCCAAATCAAGCAGGTGTCACAGTATAGGCCGCCGCGGACTTTACTCTTAATGCCGAATGTGCAAAGTAGAACAGTAGAACTGGAACCAACCATACCTCCCTGATGCTTTGTTGGGGGGGGGGTGGACCATGGGTTCCTGGAAGAGTTTCCGTCATAGTGTTTGCGTGCGTGTATGCGATTGCTTGGGACAAGGCACCACAAAAAGGCCGATACTTTGAGTCAATCCCCTTAAATGGGCATCACAATCGGCCGGGGGTTCTCCCACACTCTTATGCTCAGAAATAAAGAAGGAATTAACCCAGCTGTGCTCCCAACAACCAGCAAAAACCAAGATCGTCAAGTTCCGTTCCGTTCCGTGTCGGCGTTCCGTTCCGAGGGCTCCAGGGCGGCAAATGCCCCCCCCCCCCCCGGCCCTTTACAGATACAAACCCAACCCTTCGGCTGTTGGGAATAAGACTGTAGAAAGACAGACTGCAGCACTACACAGTCACTCGCCAGCTTGTTCAAGCCTGCGTCTTCGGAGCCGCTGTCGCCGTCTCGGCTACCGGGGGGGCCTGGCGCATACGGTGCGATGCGCCTTTCAAACCTCTGAATTCTGGAGCTTGAGGCCACCTAGGTTTCTCATGCGGCCATCGGGCATCCGTATGAACATGCTGCAGAAATGCTCAGCCTTGAGAAGTTGAGGATGTACGCCGTGTATGTACCCTGCTGGTGAGCCGTTCGTGACAGGCCTCCACTTTGGGCGCAGCTGGCGGTGCTTTAGCTGCCTGCCGCTCAGACACTGTCGGCACCTGACACATGGTTCGACTGGGCAGCACAGGCCGTCCCCCTGCTGGTGAGCTGTTCGTGACAGGCCTCCACTTTGGGCGCAGCTGGCGGTGCTTTAGCTGCCTGCCGCTCAGACACTGTCGGCACCTGACACGTGGTTCGACTGGGCAGCACTGGCCGTCCCCCTGCTGGTGAGCTGTTCGTGACAGGCCTCCACTTTGGGCGCAGCTGGCGGTGCTTTAGCTGCCTGCCGCTCAGACACTGTCGGCACCTGACACATGGTTCGACTGGGCAGCACAGGCCGTCCCCCTGCTGGTGAGCTGTTCGTGACAGGCCTCCACTTTGGGCGCAGCTGGCGGTGCTTTAGCTGCCTGCCGCTCAGACACTGTCGGCACCTGACACGTGGTTCGACTGGGCAGCACTGGCCATGTTGTTTGGGCACTTTCCAAAATGAGTCGGCCGCTACAAGGATGGAACTCCAGTACAGCTCTTCATAGTCTTGGAAAGATCCCTCTGGTACCAAAAGACCCAAGGTTATCAAATCCCCAAAGCACGCCCACATTCACACACCTCATCTTTGGCTGCGGGTTTTGCTGCCACCTCCTGGCACGCAGCTCCAGTGCATGCAAGGGCCTTGGGGCAGGGGGCTTGGGGGGTTCCCAATGGCAACTTAGGATACACAACTCCAAGTTGACTAGAGACAGCACAAGCACTGACAGGAGCAAACCAGGTGGCGTGGCCCCGGCTGCGCTGCCCTCCCCTCCATGCAACAATAGCAGCTCCAGATCTTGAGACAAGAAACCAGAATTTCTAGATGCACAAGCGTTCAACTGCTCAGCTAACCACCAGAACATCTGCCACCTAGTCTGCCCCCTAGCAAAAGAAAAAAACACAGAACTTTCTTCTCGTCACAAGGTACCAAATTAAAAGAGACTCATGAACAGCCCATGAAAAACCTCTGGAATTTCCTATCCCTTTCTGTTGTTAACTTCGTTCATTCAGCATTTTTGGTGGATTGCATATTTGGATTCATGTTATGATCTTACAAATCGAGTACCTTGCAAATGTAGCAAAAGCGATGTATCGAATGCCTTCTGGCAGTCTAACAGCACCAGGTGCAAAGCGAACGCGGGCATAATTATTCATCATGTGTGCCGGTGTGAATGAGTGAGTGACAAATTGCCGTGACTTAGCTCTTGTTCACGGTTTTTTGGTGAAGGAGAAAAAGGTTGGAAAGGATACAAGCTCCTTTCAATTCGAATGTTTCTATTGGCAATACTATCTTCGTGCACTCGTTCACTCACTCTATTTTGTGCGCTCACAAGATTCTTGTACAAAACCCACCAGAATGACGCCAAAGACCAGGGGTTGTCTTAACCCTAAGTTCCCACTCAACTCGCCGTACACCGTATATGTCTAGGGCTTGATGTGGAGGGATCTCTGCGCTCGATGTCCTAATCCTAAACCCTGAGCCCTAAACCGGTGAACCCTACAACACTTCGACCTGCCCCAACAAGGACGCCCCAAGCACCTTGGGTGCAGCCTTTGGCACCTTCAGCCGCGATTCAAGCAGGAAATGTATTCCGTTAAGTGAGGTCTTAGGACCAGGGTTCTGGGCGCTGAGGGGGTGCGAAGGATGGAAGGAACACCCAGAGAACTCAGCAGGAGCTCTGTGGCTCAGGCCCCCACTTAAACGCTGTAACAACCTCCTTCTCGGTTGAGGGTCGAGACATGCTGCAGCAGATTCGGTAGCTCAACTTCTATCAAGGAGATTTGCCCCCACCCCCTGCCCGCCCCCGCTCCCCTCATCCTTCCCCTGTCGCCCCAAAGCCCTCAAACCCTGAAGCTCTAAAACCCTAAAACCCTAAAACCTGTAAACCCCAAAAACCGAGACTCTAAGACCTTAAGCCCTAAAACTCTCAAAACCTAAAACCGAGACCCAAAAAACATCCTGAGATGCCCCCAGGAACCTCGGAGGTCGGAGCTGGCTTTGGGGCCTCTCCGGCGTGGCCGGCAGGGACATTCTGGGGTTTAGGGTTTTAAGGTTTAGGGTTTATAGGGTCCAGGGTCTATAGGGTTTAGGGTTTAGGGTTTTAAGGTTTAGGGTTTCTAGGGTCCAGGGTCTATAGGGTTTAGGGTTTAGGGTTTAGGGTTTTAAGGTTTAGGGTTTAGGGTTTTAAGGTTTAGACTGGGGTTAGGTTTTGGAGGGGTCCGAACACCCCCAAAAACAAGAAAGACGGGCTGCTGGATGGCCTGGAGTTTGAGGAGGGTCTTCGCTTCTTTTGGGCGGGTGGACCTTTTGTGCAGAATTCCTCATAGATTCAAGTCTAGAAAAGGGGGGAGCTAAAACCCCAGCTGAATCTCGGGCCGCAAGGCAAAGCTTCGGGCTTCTGAGTCCTTCAGGGCAGGGCTGGGGGAATTTTCCTGGCCCGCTGTGTATCGTGAAGGAGTAAGAGCCAAGTGGAGTCGAGTCACGATCTCGGTGACCCAAAATCCCAGAACCCCGCTTTCCAAGAGCCGACGGAATACTGTTAAGAGCATTGCAGCGATGCAGCAAGGGTTTAGGTTTACAATTACAAATGACATATATGTACAAGTAACTCACAACTTAGGTGCGCCTCCTTGTCAGGGACACATGATACTCAGGCTACTCTCTGTAGATGCTGCGAACCGGAAGCAGGCCAGGTCGTGAGACGTTGGCCCCTCGAGATTCTTATAGTCTTCCCGAGCTCGGCCTCTGTTCTTGCTGGCGGGGCGAATGCTGCCGTGGCGGCTACTTTTGGCGCAGCTTTTGGCGCCGCTGCTGGTGGAGGCGCTGAACTCTCACCTGGCGTCGAACTGGGCGCATCCCGCATAATCCGTGAGAGGCCATTTGCATCGATAGGAAATTTTGATGATGGCACTTCAAGGGAGAAAGGTCAGGAAAAGTTGGTGAGACCTCTTGCAGAGGCTTCAAAGGGAGCTTGGCGTTTGGGCTCGTGTTGAAGTTTATGGGTTCGGCATAAAAAGGTTTGAGGAGACGGGGGTTCCGCTTTGAGGAGACGGGGTTTTCGCAGCATCCAGCCTGACAGCAAGGAGTCGAAGAAGGCATCTGTATCTTCTTCGAAGGCTTTCAAAATGTCCTGCATCACCATTGAGTCACAAGACTTGTACATGTATCAGGCTTCGACGACTGAACAGCATTAGGGGCGAACCCAAGTAAACCTCCAGACCACCAAACCCTAGAACACAGCCCTACTCCAATTAGCCCCAAAACTGTTTGCGGCTGCAACTGAATAGCAGCAACTGAATAGCTTCACTGCCAAACATGGACCTACCCAAGGCTTGACCCAAGGGTCAGGATCGCAGTGCGGGAATCAGACTTTTTAACATTGGAGTGCTCTGGCTCGGCATACACGTCGGATTTGTCTTTGACATCCAAAATCTGATGCACGTGGGATCTAAGTACCGTAAACCCTATAGTTAAAGACCTATGAAGCCCGCAAGGAGCCCAGTGCCTCACCTAATGCGCTCTTGAAAGGGGCTTGGGGCCCCTGTGAGGCCTTGATGCGTGGCAGCTGATGTGTTCACGGACACTACTGTACTTCGATGGCCGTTCACATCGAAGCTGAAAGCCAAAAAAGGGGCTGGCGGAGTCTCCCAAACTTTTTTAGGGCTTATATGGATTGATCGCGGGTTCCGGAGGTATGTAGGGCTGCCGTCTGTTGGAGGGTCGTTTGAAGCGCGGTGCTTGGGGGTTCAAGCGGGCACCCTCATTTTTGGAAACTCCCTGGCCCTGATGATCACCAATGATCACATGACTTTTGGCCCATGGCCATATAGAGCCCGACAAGGAGCGCAGTGCCTCACTTGAAAGGGTCTTGGGGCCCCTGTGAGGCCTTGATGCGTGGCAGCTGATGTGTTCACGGACACTACTGTGCTTCGATGGCCGTTCACATCGAAGCTGAAAGCCAAAAAACTAGGGGCTGGTGGAGTCTCCCAAACTTCTTTAGGGCTTATATGGATTGATCGCGGGTTCCGGAGGTATGTAGGGCTGCCGTCTGTTGGAGGGTCGTTTGAAGCGCGGTGCTTGGGGTTCAAGCGGGCACCCTCATTTTTGGAAACTCCCTGGCCCTGATGCCATGGCCATATAGAGCCCGACAAGGAGCGCAGTGCCTCACTTGAAAGGGTCTTGGGGCCCCTGTGAGGCCTTGATGCGTGGCAGCTGATGTGTTCACGGACACTACTGTGCTTCGATGGCCGTTCACATCGAAGCTGAAAGCCAAAAAACTAGGGGCTGGTGGAGTCTCCCAAACTTCTTTAGGGCTTATATGGATTGATCGCGGGTTCCGGAGGTATGTAGGGCTGCCGTCTGTTGGAGGGTCGTTTGAAGCGCGGTGCTTGGGGTTCAAGCGGGCACCCTCATTTTTGGAAACTCCCTGGCCTGGTAGCCCAGTAACCATCTTATAATAAGGGCGCCCTTTTTTTGGGTTGGTTATTTTACAAGGGGAAACCAGATCCCAACAAAAGGGTAAAGCGTAACACTGGGCTACCAAGCTGGCCCTGATGATCACAAGTGATCACATGCCTTGGCCCATGGCCCATGCTCGCGGACCTGAATCGCCGCAGCTCTGATTCGACTGAATTCGTGGGCCCCCTGCCAAGCGTGGCCAGCTTCTGCCGATAATGCCTGCAAGGGGGTTTGGTCAAGGGAAGCTGGCCTTCGTCAAAGGCTCCCATGCCCGGCCATGGAGTTGTCCACGGAGTCCTCGGATCTGCCCTCCTTGGGGTGGTTTGTGTTGGATGTGTCACCGCCTTCCACGGCACTGCCGCTCGTCATGCTTCGAGAAGATCCGCGCGATGGAGGCAAGCTCAAGAGACTGCTGGGGCTGTGGGGATTCTGACCTTGACGCGCCAGGCGCGTGAAGTGATGAGCACGCGGGGGCTCCAGCCCGAGCGCTCGTAGGCTCCGCGCCCTCTGGCGAAGGAGCTCTAGGTCTTCACCGTCCTGTGACACCAAATAGAAGCGGTTGGCTTGCCGACGGGAATGCGCAAGATCCTCGCGGTAAACTCCACCCATGGCTGTCACTTCTGAGGGGCTTCGAAAAAAACACTGAGGGTGAGTACTGGAGCCTTCGTGCGGACAGCGTCACAACGGTCAGCGAGAGCACAACCACAGAACCCAAGATGCAAGGAGCTGTGGGATAATGGAGCCTGGCCTTTCAGATCTGGCTTATAATCATAATCACGAGCTGCGGCCGCGATTTTGGAAACTGAGACCATGGCCATTAGAATCGTCAGCCTTCCCAAGGCCCGACAGAAGCACCAGTCTACCTATCTGTGTGAGGCTTTGGGGCTTCAGTTTGTTTCTAGACGATGGCTCCTTTTTGCCCTGCATAGAAGGGGGGGGCACATGAGAACAGGGACCCCAGTCAGCCACCCTTCGATTGTGGCCCTTCTTTCGAAACGAGTGTTGGGGAGGCAGTCCTGATCCTTGTCCTCTGAGGCCATGATGCCCAAGCAACACCAAGGCCGCTCAACCCAATAGGCTGGTACAGCTGCGTGTTGACCTAGATTATGGGCCCTTAGTGGCCTCCAGTAGCAGTTTGGGTGGTGAGCCCAAAAAAGGCCCGTAATCCGCCGAGGCCTCGGGCCGAAGGTGTATTGGTAGTCAGAACAGGCACCCCCCTCCAAATCCTCCCCCAGCCCTTTCGGACCCCTTTTTTTGCCTCAAATGGGTACCCCGCCTAGGTGAGCAGGGTCCGCAAGCGGATGGTTCGCCAGGACCAGAGGCAGTTGCAGCCCTTCCCAGCAGGGCCCCCCCTTTTTTCACCGCCCAGACCCCTTCCCCCGCCCCCCTAACCCCCCCTACCCCCCCCCCCCTCCCCCCCCCCCCCTACCCCCCCCCCCCACCCCCCCCACATAGTCCCTCCCCCCAAAAGCCACATGAGCGGCTGGGCTCGAGGTGCTAATGGACGCAACAAGAGGTCGCTTTTCAAGTGTTCCCATCGTTTTACAGGGTTTTCCCCTTGCTTAATTGAATGGCTGGGGGTTTTGGCGCTTGCTCACATAAGGTGTTTGTGAAAGGCGGAGTTTTCCTGCTCCGACGCGCTGGCTTGAGGGCCGGAGGCTCACTGGTGTGAGCACGGCCGCAAATCCGCCGAGGCCCCCCTTTTTTGCCTCAAATGGGTACCCCCCTGGGAAACCGGGGTCCGCAAGCGGACGGTTCGCCAAAACCAGAGGCAGTTGAAGCCCTCCCAGCGGGCCCCCCCCCCCTTTCCCCCCCCCACCCCCCCCCCACCCTCCCCCCACCTCGCCCCCCGGTTTTCGAGGCTCAACTCCGGGGACGAAGAGTAACCGAAACCCGAAACCTTCAATCTTAGCTCCCCCCCCCCTTTCCCCTCTGCCCCCCTTCCCCCTCCACCCCTACCCCCCCTGAGGGGCCTGGCTCAACCCTACGATCAATCCAAGCCGAACCGTCTCTTGAACCCTAAACCCAAAAAAACCCTAAACCCCAAAGCAAGAACCTTGAGCCCTAAGCCCTCAATCCTAAACTAACCCTCAACCCTAAACCCCAGACCATAAACCATAAACCCGGAACCCTAAACCCGACTTGGGCGCTGCGGAATCACCATGCTCACGCGGATGCGCTGGGCCGGGCCGAGGCGGGTCGCGTAGCGTTAAAATTAAGATGCATCCCACAGCTACAAGTGAACTGCGTGCTTGCTGTTAAGAGGGCCACTGAGGCGCTTGGACAGAGCAACTGAACAGGAGAAACCTGAAAGTGACATCTCTGACGTGCAAGGCGCATCTCTGGATGGTGGAGTGCTTTTTGGAACAAGCCAAGTGGAAGCTGCGGCACTCAGGGACCTCATAACATGTTTGAGAGGACGACATGAGCCCTCAACGACAAAACGCAAGCTGGGCGTTGCTCTGTGCATGCACTGGCAGCACTAGCGGTGCGGATTGCGACGGCGTGAAAACAGATCGACATCCTGCATACCCTAACAAGGTGGCCTCATGGGTCTGCATTGGGTGCCCACATCTCAGGGCGGCTGGAGGTGGTTGCTTGGGTCTTGGCTACTTAGGTAAGGTTGAGGGGTTCAGGTGCTGAGTCAATCGAGTCTTTACAAGTATATGCCAAGGAACCTCGGACTGTGCACATCCTCTTTGTCTGCCATTCCATGGAGTCAGTGCGCACTACGCACAGGTTTCGTGCAATGCGCATCTACTCCGCAGGCAATCGGCCTCACTGCTGATGGAACTGCTTCCGCTCGCGTGCACTTTATGCTGTGACGCCGTACCCTAAACCCTAAACCCTAGACCCTAGACCCTAAACCCTAAACTAAACATCAATCCTAACCCATTGCCTAGACGAGGCTTGCCATAAGCCCAACAAACTAACCCAACCCCTTGTGAGGCGTAACATGCTTGTCGCCATCTTGTGCTGCATGCAGCTCTAAGTGCAGGGCGTTCGGTTCTCCTTTTTGTTGCTACGTTTCTGGAGGTATAGGCTCTTATAATGGGTACGTCCCCACACCCTCGAAACTTTCAGCCTGCCGGTTCTACGGTCATGCAGCAATCATCACGCGCCGCAGCACAAGACCTGGTGGGATGCAGGCGTTGGAGGCGTGCACCCCTCCCTGAAACCCTACCCCCTGAAGCCCATAAGCCTATAAAGATGGAGACCTTTGCACCCCACACAATAAATCTCAGTCGATCTGGTCAGGGTCCAGGGTCGAATGAGGGTTTGGCTGGACTTGGGGGCTTCCCCCAAATCGGGGTGCACTTGTTGATACTTTTCGGACCGGGGGATGGGAACCCCATGTTCGCAATTTCGGGGTTTTGACTGCCCCCCCCCCCCCCCTTAACTCCTTGACGCAATGAAAAGCCCTTCAAGGGACACAGCTTAGCGTTTGGCGACTTGAAGCTCCAGGAGAAAAATTAGGGAGTCGAGCTTGGCTTGGGAAGTCTCAGTGCTTGGGGAAGGAAACATCGGGGTGTTGTCCATGCTCAGGCGCAGAATCGACATAGAAGCAAGCCCAAGCTTACACGCACAGGGAGCTAGCCGATGGAAACAGGCTGTGAGATAATACTACACGCTACTACCCTAAACCTTACCTAAACCCTAAACAACAGAACACCGCATGAGCCCAGTCTCTGACTGAGTCCTCAATAGCCGGTCCAACAGCTTTTTCCGCCTCAGACATGTCTTCTGTGCCTCCCTGCAGCTTTAGCATGGGCTTGGCAACCATCCAGCAATCGAAGCTTGTTCTAATCCACACGAAGTAAACACACACTGGCCCCCGCCTGATTATGGCTTGCTGTCCCACATGGCAGGGGCCCACCGCGGCTGCGAAGCAACGTCCAGGCTCAAGATGTCCCCAAAACCCTAAACCCCCACAATCCCTAAAGCCCTTCAAACCCTTAGTCCGTTTTAACCCCTTTGTACCAGACAAAAAAGGACTTGACGCGCAGACTTTGCTTGCCGGGTGGCGGTCTTTGCTGCGAAGGGCGCGAAGCGCCACGCTGTGAATTAACAACTGTTCCCGCAAGGGGTTGAGGGTTGAGGGTTCCCCGTCTAACCCCAGATTTCCCAAATCTGATCACTCCCAGACTCAGAGCTCATCATGGGACACCGGCAGGCCAAACTTCGCGGAAGCCTTCTCCAGCTTCCAGACCTCAGGTGCTTAGCTCAGTGGCGCTCGAATGCGCTCGAAAGCAATGCGCAATAGGGTACACTTTCAGTTCAGCAATGGAACTTGGCACCGTCATCCGTACGTAGTATAACCCAAAACTACCATAAGAGGACTGGGTGCACTTGTGATCATGACTGAAGAGAGACCTGTAGATGCTATCATGACTACGACTGTAGCGTTCCTGTAGATGCTATAATGACTACGACTGTAGCAATCTCTTCGTAAGTGTTCACGCTTTGGTCTCTCGCTCTCACTCTCCCGCTGTCGGTCCCACTCGTGTTCTTCCTCCTTGATTGAGAAAGCTGTGATGCGTGAACTTTGTCGAGGCAGCTCATTTTGTGGATGCACATCACGCTGCTGATGTCTTTCCCAGTCAGAGTGGGAGATTCACTGTGCTCATGGGTGTATCATTCAACACAGAACGCAGGGCGTGGCAACAGCAGTGCGCAGGGCCACGCCCCTGTGCAAATGCAATTGGCCAAAAATGGGTAGATGCTGCGCCGTTGTCTTGATGCAGGACCCCGCTATCACACTCAATCTTTGGGTAAGCCGTGCGGCATCATGAAGGTATCCGCCGCCGCCATACCTCAGCTGTTCAACTCAACCACTTCAAACCTGCAATTTCAATAGCTGAAAGAAATAGACCTGTCATCGCACAAAGGGAAGCTGTGTCGGAAGTCCTTGTGACCCTACAATCACGTGAAACTCAGAAGCAGCATCCTGGAGATGTTCTGAAATCTTCATAACTGACGTCCCCTCTATGTTATGTATGTTATGGTGGCATGTATCTGTAAAAAAACACATATGGATATATAGAGAAAAATGATTTGCATACATATACATGGCGGCTATACAGGCGACAGATTCATAGATGCTTGGAGGAGGTGGGTTGGGGGGGGGGGGGGCAGTTGTCGATAGCCAGGGTGGGGGTCTCAGTTCTCCATGTTAGCATTTGGCACTCTATGTACATGCGCATACTTTGGGTAGTTCCCAGACAGGAGTACTTCAAAATACTATCATCCTTCGAAGGAACCCCCCAACAAGGGCACCCCAATTTGGGAAGCTCCCCTATCAATATGCATACCATAGCTGTAATTAGGTCTGACAAGCCTCATAATCGCTGAAGGATAATCTACTCATGAATCCTACACATGTCAATGCAAGCACGGTGACAGGGTCCCGCCGCCAAAGATCAGGATAGTGTCATCGGTGGTAACGCCTTCCATCGAGATTGTCTCAACGATGCCGTTCGGTACTTCTAAGCCTCCATGAAACCGGCACATCCTAGAAATGAAGGCAAGCAAGCCCTACAAACCTAGACTCTACAAAACCCAAAAAGTGGATGAAATGGAAACACAACTCCGCAAACGTTCACCTCAAACACATATAAGTTGTGCGTTTCCCATAGCAGGGTTACCCTCTTGGTAGATGCTGCTGCTCGCATTTTATGCGGGCATAGCAAATTAAGGGGAGTCCGGCTTTGGTAAATTCCCATCTTCATACCCTAAACCCTAAACCCTATTGCCTCCCCCCCCCCCACCCCCTCAAGAGGGTTTAGGGTTTCGGGGTCTAGGCCCTGGCGCACGTGGGACGCTGTGCGCCTACGGCGACGTCGTCCCTGGGAGTCCATGGTGCCTCCCCAGAAAGCCCAGCGACCGTAAGGTCTGGGTAATCATAGCACTGACAGTAGTCAGAGCATTGCGAGTATTAGCAGAATACCAGGACGGGCCATTTTACCCTATAACCCCTTCAAAAGGCCCTTCAGAGGGGTTGATTATGGGGATCATAGGGCCCAACAGCCCATCCTGGTAGCCACATAAGAATTATGACATAAAAAAGAGCTATCAGATGCCAGCTCGGGGTTTGTGGAATCAGGAGCCTCAACCCCTCAAAAAGCTCTCAGCGCCTGGAAGGCAAAGCCTCGGAGGATCTTGGGATTTCAAGTCTTTTGAACTTGAAGATTTAACACGGGGTTTAGGGTTTAGGGTCTAGGAATTAGGGTTAGGCCCTAGGTTTCGGCCTTGCTCCATGACAATGAATTGTTAAATGGAGTCTCTTCGGAATGCTTGCATCCGGCTCAGGGCCCCTAAGGCTGGGCATTTGGGGGTCGGGTCTTGAGGGCCTCCACTCTACGCTTATCTGTCCATGCCCGAAAAAACACCACAAACCTCATAAACCCTCGTAAGCCCTCATTGAAGCCTAAACCCTAGATCCGAAACCCTGAAGCCCAGACCCTAAACCCAAAACCCTGAACCCCTGGATCCATGCCTCTTTCTCTACGACCTTCCAAGACTTGCTGCCAGCATTGAGGTTGAGAGCGAGAACGTCCTTCCCAAGGCCACAGGCGCAAAACGACCCTTGAGGCGCTTGGCGTGGTTTGGGGCTGAGGATTTGGGGTCTTAAGGTTTGGGCTCAGGGCCGCACATCCTCGCTGAACTTCACCGGCCCGGAAAACGAGAAGAAGAGAGACAGCCCCGATAACCTGAAACCGCCTTTCAACGACACGGATGAAAGGCCAGCTGCTCTTATCCCCCTCAAGAACAACCCTATAAGCTCTGCAAACCCTACAAGCCACATAAGCCCTATTAGCCCAAAGCGCTAAAGCCCATAAGCCCTATAAACCCTATAATACCCTTTAAGCCCTATAAGGCCCCTAAGCCCTGTAAGCCTGATAAGCCCTATAAACCCTACAAGCCCTATAAACCCTACCCTAAACCCTAAACCCTAAACCCTAAACCCTAAACCCTGAACCCTAAACCCTAAACCCTAAACCCTAAAGCCTAAACCCTAAACCTAAACCCTAAACCCTAAACCCTCGACAGGGCTGCAGCCCAGGCTCGCTGTAGGTGCGGAACTCGGTCTCCTGTCCATCACAGGTCTCAGGAATTTTGAGCGCAGGTCTCAGGATTTTGAGCGCGGAAATATGAGGGGTTTGGGGGGGGCTGTTAGGGCTGCTATAGGGTGTATGTGTCGATTCAACAGGCTATACTTGGGGATGGAGCTTTGCGTTTCAGACTGCTTAGGCTGGTCCCAAGAACGCTTGAACACTCTTGGGTGGGTGCTTGGCAGCGCAGCGACGCATCCCAGACTCTGGCAGCTCTGTAAGGACTTTCATTTTGCGCCCAGGTTCACATGCTGGAGCTGGGTTCTGTGGATCTCAAGGACCAAGGGCCATGATCATGGCTCAGCGCAGGGCATTCGCAAGTTCCTTGTCGCCGCTGTAGTTGTAGCAAGCCCAGTCATAGGGCGTCCAGCCTTCAGCGTCCCTTGTGTTCTTATCGGCACCCGATATCACCAAGAAGCGCGCGATCTGCCCGCACCCATGCATGGCTGCCCAGTGCAAGGGCGTGGCCCCTTCCTTGGTGGCCTTGTTCTTGTTCGCGCCGCTCTGCAGAAGCAAGTGGACCATGTCTAAGCTGTAAGCTTCAATGGCCACGAAAAGTGGCGTCTGGCCATCGAAATTCTCCAAATCTGTTGACGCCTGTGCATCAAGCAAGGACTGTGCCGATTCTAAACTCCTCGTGTGCGCTGTCCAGTGCAAAGGCCCCCACCCAGCTCCATCCAACATGTCAGTGTCTGCATCGCTTTCAAGCAGGCGCACGACAATGTGGTGGTGGCCACAGCTCGACGCCCGATGCAAAGGCGCCGATTTCGGTGGTGCATCATCCCGTGTGGCACGTGGATTCCAGTCGTCCACCTGGTTTACATCTGCCTTGGCACGCAGCAACGTATCGACCAGGTCGAGGTCGTTGCTGGAACATGCGAAGCTAAGGTATGTGTGGCCGTCTTTGCAGAGCCCGTTTGGACTTGCGCGAGACTCCAGCAACAAGCTCGCTGGCCCAACTTGCCCAGACGACACTGCCCACTCTAGAAAATCTGGCAGCCGACCTTGGGAATCTAGAGACGCCACATTTGCCCTGGACTCCAGCAGAAAGGAAGCAATCTCGAATGAGCAGTTGCTCACAGCCAAACTCATGGGCGTCCATCCCTTTGCACTGGCCCCTTCAACGTCACAGCTTTTTCCAACCAATGACTGGACCATGCTCAGATCTCCGCACTTGATGGCACTTAGCAGAGGCGTGCTGCCCGTGGCGTTGACAGTATCTGCACTTGCTCTTGCTGCGAGCAACGAGGCGACAACATCGTGATGGGACTTCTTCACGGCACAGTGCAGCGGAGTCTCGCCTTGTTGGTCTTGTTCGTCCAAAGCGCTGCTCTCGAGCAAGGAGTTTACAACCGACAGGTGACCTGACTCAACCGCCCGATGCATGGCTGTCCGGTCTTTGCTGTCTCTCAAACGAGCGTCTGCCCGCTGTGCCTGCAGGTGATGGACCAGGTCATCGTGCCCGTGAGCGCATGCCAGGTGCAAGGGAGTCCAGCCGAGGAGTGGATGGGGAAGGTGTGGGTTCGCCCTGGCTTCGAGGAGGAACTGGGCGACTGCAAACCGCTTGTGCTCGAGGGCACGAAGTAAAGGTGCATCAGTGTCCAGGTCCAAGCCAGCATCGGCCAGAAACCGGACAACCTTCAAGTGACCTGCTTTTGCTGCCTTCAGCAGAGGTGTCTCACTCCAGCTGCCAGTTTTGCTCTTGCTAGCGCCTTCCTCGAGGAGCAACATGGCAAGGTTCTCAAAGTCGTTGCTAATCGCGAAAGTCACTGGGGTGTCTCCAGAGGCAAAGGGTGCATCCTTGTCTGCTCCTGCGTCCATGAGAACATGGGCAACCATGCTTTGGCCATGCTCCACGGCAAGATGCAGGGGTGTGCCATCGGTGGAGTTGGCCCTGGGCGCGTTTACGTCAGCAGCTTGACGGATCAGAAAGAGCGCACACCTCACGCTGCCGTGTGTGGCGGCGATGTGCAAGGCTGTCCTTGAATCGTCGACGAGCAGATTTGGATAGTAGGAAGTACTGAACAGCCTTTGCAAGGCGTTGATGTTGTCCCTCGCAACTGCCACCTTGATTCCAGCGAGCTGCTCTTCACTGGGGAGTTCCCAATCCAAAACCACCATGTCCAAACATGCAGGCAGATTAATTTCAGTTCTGTCCGAGACAACGGCGCCATTGTAGAGCAGCCTGACCTCGTGTGTGGAGCCGATTCGTTCTTGAACCCGGCTTCTTACGGCCCTGGCCAGGCTACCTTGATCTCGCATCCGGCGAATCTCATCGGCTGTGAACTCCACCACGCACTCCCCCGAAGCTCGCGACACTTGCAACATGGCAACAATTGCAAGCTTAGCAACTCAGTGCAGGCAGCGTAAGAGTTCGTTTCTGCTGCGCTGACAGATCGTGTGAACCTCAGCTCTCTTCCTGAAGGCCAACAGCTTCGTGTACAACATTGTGAAACAATCCGTTCCTCCTCCTCTATTTCTCCCCAGGCCTACAGGGAACTCAGTACCTGAATATTCCCCATTCCTTCACATGTGTCACATGCGACTATGACTTCATCCAAAGTCCCACAAGGAACTGGCAGGTTGCCAGTATTTTCTCGAGTGCCCTGTAATTATACACCCCCCTGAACTCTGGACCCCAAATCCTGTGAACCCGAACCCGTAGACTCAGCCCCTAACCCCAAAACCTGGAGGACTCAACCACCACGCCTCGTGGTGCTTTGCCACGCCGTCCTTATCTTCCTCGGCTGTCCCAACACCATTCCAGCATGTTCTCCCCAGAGTAACCATAGTACTTCTAAACCCTTACATTACATTGACTTGCTCAGTGCCATCAGCAACAGGCTTTGTCGCAAGCATAGAGTGGTAATGGTTTTGATGCAGACCCAAGCCGTAAACGGTAGCCCTCAACCCTAAACTACTGCGAGGTGAAGTGGTAAAAGTAAGTCCCAGAGGCCGGACCCTTGGAGAGGAGCTCCGTGTCTGGCGTCCAGTGACCTCCCAGCGTCATCAGCCAGCCCGTGTGGAGCACCTCGGGGGTCTTAGGGCTTATGAGGTTTTGTAGGGTTTGCGGTTTCAGGTCCAGGGCAGTTTCGGGTGGAGGGTTGGGTGGGTGGGGTGGAGAGTTTTAGAGTTTGGGCTCAAGCTTTTGGAAACGCAGGGGCTTGAAGCGGCAGACTCCAGACAAGATCGGGGCAATGTGGCAAGTCAAGAGTGAGATCCATTGCAGGGGGGTTAGAAACCTACTATAAGCTCCTACAACCCCAGTCAAAGCCTAAACCCTACACCCTGTGGAAGCCCTATCCTAACCCTCCACCCACAACCCTGGACCCTAAACCCTGAACTTAAACCCTTTAAACCCTCCGACACTAAAACCGCTTGACCACTGGGCTGCCGTGCGAAGATGCCCGGCGAGCTGCGGGCCGAGGGCAGGTTACCCAGGCGCACCCACTCGGAGGCCTGGGCGCCTTGGGGGATGCCGCAGGCTCAGCAGTCTCTTTGGTAGGGATCCAAACGGCGCATATTTTCTTATGGGCTTGAAGAGGCTTGGTAAGGAAACCTGACCCCCCCCCCCCCCAAAAAAGGAAGAATAACGGCCTGCTCTGAATTCAAGACGGTTTGAGGGAAAGAGGTGGGCTGTTTTGGATTTTTTGTGGGGGGGGGGGAAGGTAGGTGTGAGTGTGTGGGGGTTGTGGAAGGTTTTAGGCAGTTTGGGGGTGATGATGAGGGGGTTATGGGGTTGTTGTTTCTTTTGATTTTGTTTGGGCAGGGGGAGGTTGAAGTAGGGAAGTGGGGGGTTGAGGTCCGTTCAGGTTTCGGGCGTTCAGGCGGGCAGGATATTCCAAGTGACTTGAAGGTTTCGCGGGCTTTTGGCCATTCAATGCGTCCACCGCGCGTTGAGGGTTCGGGAGCCGGAGCTGCGGAAGACACCGAGGGAGAGAGCCCGAAAATCACCCAAGAACCACAGGGTCCAAGGATCCAAAAGGGCCTGCTTAGGGTTTAGGGATATGTTCAGGGTGTAACAGGCTTAGGGATTAGGGTTTCCTATAGAAGCCCTACAGAGCCTCAAGAAGCCCTGCACAGGTAGTTGCAATTTTAATACCCCCGGGTCCCCCCTTTTTCCCAACCTGACATAACATCACTAATTATAATACGCAACACGGGGCAACATCCGATCATCTATGAGGCAGCTAGCTAAAGCCAGACCCTAATTTGACCATTAAAGCTAAACCCTCTGAAAGGTGCTTTCTAGTGCCCAAGCAGTTAGTCTACATGCCCTGCCGCCCCACGTCCCTAAACCCTAAGCTCCCAACCCTGAGCCCCGAAACCCCAAAACTCTACGTCCTGGGCTCCCGACTCGGAATCGGCACTCTCCACGTGTCCTCACAGCGCTTCCAGCGCCTGCTAAACTGTCGGAGTGGGGTTTAGGGCTTATTTCTTAGGGTTTAGGCCGGGTAGAGGGCTTTGGGAGGGTTAGAGCTTTAGGAGTGGTTGAGGGTTGAGGGCTGGAGGGTTTTGGCGAGGGTTGTGCGGGATTTTTTGGGGGGCTTAGGGGCTGGCTTAGAGGTCCCTAAGCCCTACGGAGTTTAGTCCATAACGCCGCTTAAGCTTCATGGCTTAGGCTGGACGCTGTATTCTGATTGGTTCTGGGCTTCGAGTTAGGATTTAGGCCACAGTCCCCAACTGGAAACACATCCATGCAAACAAACAAGCAAGCAAACAATCTAACAAACCACTCACAAATACTTGTGTCCTACGTCGAACTCTGCGCCGCCCGCTACCTGCAGCCTCGTTGTGTAAAGCCCCCCCCACACTCTCGCTGCCTGCCGCCCTCTTTGGCATGCTGCCCTCCAAACATCACCTGCTTTGTGACTTGTGACAACTGGGGGATTCTCTAAATTTGGTCCCTTTTGGGGCAGCATAAGGTGGCCCCGAATCATTAAGGTACCCAAATAATTAAACCATAATTTCGAGAACTGACCTTATGAACCCTTATGAATCCGCTGCAAAAGCAATTGCAAGGCCCCTGGAGACCATTGAATGCTCCCTTACGAAAGCTCTGCCAGCACTCCAAGCCTCTAAAACCCGAACCTTCTTGGCTTGGACAATCTGGCTCCCTGGGAGTGGGGCATCGATTGGCCTCGCTTGCGTGACCTAACTGCCACCAAGGGCACCAGCCACTTACCATCCGGGGAAATGGCGGTGGCGTGATCCGCCTGCGGACACAGGGCTGCGTGTGGGTATACGTGTGGGGTTTCGAATTCCACTGAGCGTGACTTATATGTATATATGTGTATATATATAAAATATACATGCTGACTTGATAGTTATCCGGGTACATGATACAAGAGGAGGGCCCCAAAAGGGCAAACGAGAGAAGGTACCGGGCACCCTTGGCCAAAGCCTGACAGCAATGGGAAGTTTCAGACCGTGGCCCGCAACACCGTAACTGCGGGTCCCCAACTGGAAGCGTCAGACCTTGAAAGGCTAATCACTTCCGAGCCGTCGAGGGGGCCAGGAAGACCATTCCGTCAAGCTTCCCCAGTATCCTATGGAAAAAAACGATGCCTTCTTGTTGCATGGGGGCAAAAGGGACATGAGAAAGCTAAATGTCGGCAGCCCGTCCCCCAAAAGGTCCCATCCACAAAACTACACCCCACACAAAGGTTCTGAAGCGCACCGAACGCCGAAGGCATCCAAGCAATCCAAAACCTCAATGCTACCCAGGGTTTAGGGTTTAGGGTTGAATCCCCAACTGCTTGTGCAAACTTGCAAGCCAGGGCTTCAACTGAACATCCCTACCAGCACGATTCATGGACCATAAAATACCTGAATTATACGCCTTACAAATTCTCTTAAGCCCAACAAGAGCCCTAAACCCCAAACGCTGAACCTCAAAACCCTAAAGCCCCTAAACCCTCAAACCCCCTGAAAATTCCCTGAAAACCCCACACCCTGTCTCCCCCTCGCGCCCGTGAGTCCCACGGCACGGCTCCATTGGGGGTCTTGACGGTCCACTTCAGCCTGAGACCGCTGAGCTTGCAGAATCATGGGAACCATGGTTTTAGGGCTTTGTAGGGCCTAGGGTTTAGGGGGTTTAGGGCTGATAGGGTTGGAGCTTCTATTGGGTTTAGGGTTTCAGGTTTACAGGGGTAAAGGAGGATTGCAGGAACCCGCGCCTCCCAATAAGGCTCTAAGCGTTCGGGGATTAGGCTTCGGGGGCTTCGGGATTGGGGTTTGGGGTCTACGTAGGATCCCTCAGGCAACTTGTTACAGCCACTGATGCTCCGTCAAGGCCCTAAACCCCAAACCCTACTGTATACCCTAAACCCTAAGGCTTTTGGAGCTTAGGATGCTCTGCGTTCTAGGGCCGCAAACCTCACCTGCCCCAAAAGCTCAAAGCCAATTGGTTGGGATGCTCCCCCTTATACTAACAGTCCTTAATAGGGATTACAATCGAGGTACGATAATCCCTATTAAGGACTGCTAGTCTAAGGGGGAACATCCAAACCCATCGGGTCTGTGCCGTTAGCAAAGAGACGTGTCCAGGTTGAAGACCGACACCTCGGGGCCAGGGCTTAGCATTTAGGGTTTAGGGTTTAGGGTTTAGGGTTTCATTCACGAGTGGCTCTGAATTGTGGACCGCATTTGGATGTCTTCTCCATTGTATTCCTTATACGTTCGGGAGAAAGGCCCGCGATGTGTAACAACCCCTCTTTACGGGCGTCAAATACTTACGAAGCTAGACCGTAAACCCTAGACTTAAACCCTAAACCCATTTAGGGCTCAGGGCTGGATAGGGTTTTGAACGGGGGTTGAACAACCACGCCACATCCCAGAAACCGAGTTTAGACTCTCCGGATCCGAGTCTCAGGACCGCTGACTTTCCCAATTCAAAAACAAACCCTCTGTGGCCCTAAGCTTCCAGGGACCGAAAAACTACCACAAGCTTGCTAGGACCTCAAGGGTGCTTTACACATTCGTGTCTGATCTCATACTCAATCTGAATATTTACCTGTCAAGATCGTTCTTTCGCGAAAGACATCTTTCCTCCATGCTCCGGGCGCCTGCGAGAGCGTGCCACGCTGCTGTGACCAGCCGCCCACGAACCAAACATCGGAACCTGCCGATGGTTTCTTCAAAAGGCTGCGAACCCCAGAGCCTAAATCCCAAAAGTCCCGTGCTCTCTATACGCATGAGTCCGAAGCTAGACTCGATGCTACCTAAAGTAACTTCGTACCGGTTTCGCACTAACCGCAAGGCACGCTTCCCCTTTACGGGCCTATAACCCCTAAACTACACAAAGCTCCTAAACCCTGCAAGACACG